GTGTGTGTGTGTGTGTGTGTGTGTGTGTCTGTGTCTCTGTCTGTGGTGTGTGTCTGTCTGTGTGTGTGTGTCTGTGTGGGTGTGTTTTTAATATGCATTTTATAAATACAGAGATAGTATGTTAAAAGCTAATTTTAGTTCATATTCACGGTCTCCCAAAATAGCACATTTGAGTACACGTAGATGATCTTAAGTTTATCTTAAGAAGTACTAAAGAATCATTTTAGTACAAAATTAGTGCGTGATAATAACAGAGCACATTAAGTAGTGTACTAAGTGTATTTTACTGCACTTGTTTCCACCTGGCGCTTCTCTCACCTGCTGTAATACGCCACGGCCTCCTCATAATCGCCGCTCCTGAAGGCCTGGTTGCCCTGCTCTTTCTCCTGCGCGCTCAGGGCTGAAGAGAGCAGAACACGTGAGGATGAGATCAGACACACTTCACACGCTCAGAAGACTGAATCCCCGTGACACGTTAGTTTGAGTGACACGGCAAATGCTGAGCAGTTGAGTTGAGAAGCTAATAACACCGTCTGGCATCGTATGTGCTGAGAGCAACCCAGCGCTCGTTTCTCACTAATTCTGTGCTGCTGAGTCCAAACAGAGTGTCTGTTCTGAGAAACATCTGTGTGAGAATTAGTCTTGTTCTTTCTCTTAAACACCAGAAAAACAGCAGAATCACATGATTTCTGTCTGAATCTGAGCCACAGTACAACCATCAGATCAATTCTCGGCCCGGTTTCACATGCATGATACTACTTAATATCTAATCCTGATTTCAAGGACAGAATTATGATCCAGAGACAGAAGAAAACACAAACTCTTACTGCAGCCAAACAGAAACCACAGATTTTGAGAAAAATTCTTATTTTGCTCATGTTTTTTTTTGTGTGTAAAGTTCTTTAACATTACATCGTGCGTTTGAACGATTTGTTCACTCCTTTGCAGATTGTAAAACTTAAATGCTGCATTTTGAATACTTCTTTTTGTCATTAAACTTTTGACATTTGACTGCTGTTATCTTGATAAGTGCATTAAAGTGGATATATACTGTATATATATATCATTTCAAAAATCTTTATTCTTAGTTTGTGAAAAAAAAAAGTTTTATATTTTTCAAGATGTGGGGCTGTGCAATAAATAAACTTAAAAAATGTAAAAGTAAAATGAATAATTTAAAAATAAAAACAACCAAAATAGAACACTTACTAAACAAGATTAAATCATTTATTTGTTTAGCTGAGCATTAACCACCATCTGAGAACAGTGAACATGTTTTTTTTTAATTATTGAAATATAAACATTAGAAATATGAAATGATTGAATATGAAATCTCAGGGAAATATTTAAGCTCAAACAAGTTCAGCTGACAAAAATTTTGCGAGCAGCTGATTTGTTGCAGATGATCTGTCTGTCTGACCGATGACGTACGAGCGGTGTGAGTGGATCGTCGATATCTCTGCTACGCTCTCTTTTAGCTGAGCATGAATGACACACAGCAGCTTTGGGTTTGATGGCTGATCTCTGACCTGTGCTGCTGACCGTCGGTGTGGTCTCAAGCTCGGCTGGACGGATGCAAGCGAGACATGGGTTTCTGTCGCTCTCCTCAGTGTTAGCGCACTCAGCCTCCACATCAAACCTGCAGCATGAACACACACACACACACACACACATATACACACACACACACACACATAGTGTTACACACACACACACACACACA